CAACACTTCATCAACACGGACTGATGAAAATTACTGTGACTCCTTGCATTCAATGTGCCGTCACACACTTCATGTATAAGTTAAAGAATGTAAATGAAAACACAGAACTCCAGTGAATTGTTCTTAATTCTCTCTCCCCTCTGCAGCACTGGGCTACACGGACTCGTCCCCATGGCCAGGGGCTGCAGTCAGTGCAGGGGGAATGATGTCACCTTGCCAAAGCTGGGCAGTCTCTGCCTGCTGGAGGGTGGGCGTGTTGCCCTGATACCCCAATGCCCATCATACCCAGGCTGGAGCTTCACCTGTGTGCCACCAGACCACTGAGGCTGCTCACCTGCAGCCCAGAGTGACCTGAACAGGTCAACACCATGACACTGGTCAGGGCTCTGGGCTTCTCTGGGGTGGTAGGAGTGTCTAAGTCTATTTTGTAATTGTAGAAGGTCTCTAGTTGTAGAAGGTCTCGTACTGCACTGTACTTACCATGCAATGCCTCAATGTACAAAATTAAATTCACAGAAACACAATCTTACAAACACTGATAAGTTGACTAGTGTACCTCTGTGATATTTCCATAAATAAATGAAAAAAAAAACTACATTCAAAATGTGAGGTAAGACCGTATTTAGAAAAAAGGATGATAAAATTGAAAAACTGTTAGAAAACCATGAACAGCGCCATTCACGTTCTAGAAAGCCTCCAATTAGCACATTTGAAGGGCGATAGCTGTGATGCAGTTTTTATCTGTAAGGGCTTTCGGAGGTAAGCAGCCTGCGGGGCCTGTACAAGCCCGCGTGGGGGTGACGGTGCTGGATGACGTCACTGTTATGTCAGTGAGAAGTGCTGCAGCCCCTCACTGCCTTCTCAAGCCGAGTGCAGCCTGTGACACAGTCACGCAACAGGTCACATTAAGCGAAAGGCTTCTGAGGCGTAACCTGGATAAGACTAGCGAGTTTTAAACTTAAAAAAAAAAACACCGTACTCATATTCTTCCTTAAACAAGAAGTTAGAAAAAAAGTCTCAACTAGATTTTAGGTAATAGACAGTTTCACTTCGCTGGACAGCTGGGATGAGGGATGAAGTCCCAAGTGCATCAGTCAGACTCTGGAAAGACGAGAGCTGATCAACAGCCATTACTCACTCGGATTATTGCTCTTATAGAGGACCCTGGTGTTCTGTAAGACAAATACACGTCCATGAGCTCATAATAATGGCAAATGGTTGCCTTCCGCTGCAAATTTAAACTTTATATATGAAAAAGACAAAGGAACAAGTAAAGGTTTACTTCATGCTGAAATGTGAAGAAAGAAACAAATGTTTCGGCTGTGGAGCTTTCTCCGGGCTGCTCACAAGCCAGTATGGACACTTGGGATCCAGAACTTGTCCACTCACACTGCCCTCGCGTGGCAGGGAGCTTCCTCAGCAGCTCTACCACCTGCAGGTCATTGGGGCTCAGCAGTGTGAGCCTGGGCAGCACCTGGAGGAGAGACTCCTGGGAAACCTGAGGTTCCTGCTGGAAGAGGTTTTAGTGGGGCCAGGATGGGGTGCTCACTCGGTGGTCTGTGTGGGTCCTAATGCGCCAGTATAGCAACAGGGACACTATTGTAAGAAGGCGCCATCCTTTGTATGAGACAAAACCAAGGTCCTGAGTCTGTAGTCAATAAAAATCCCAGGGGGTTTCTTGAAAAGAGTAGGGGTGTTACCCCAGCATCCTGGCCAAATTCTCCCCTGGCCTTCTTATAATCCCCAACTCTGAACTGACTTCAGCACTCTGCCTTCCTCCTGGTGTGTAGGGAGAGTACTGTCACATCATCCAGGTGGAGCTACACACTAGTGGTGATGGAGGGGATCCCCATTACCTGGAAAGGGCTATCTAAGTGTAAGGAATTTTTACTTTCATCCTTGATGGGGCTCAAGAAACAGCACAAGGTGTGGAGGTCCCAGACACTCCTGTGTCCAAATGCCCTCAAACCCTGGATTCACTGTGCCTTGGCTCAGCC